TGCTTTAGTCATATATTTGTTATAAGGTATACATATATATTTCTTTTTCTCTTCATTTTCCGTTGTTTTATTTTGCTTTTGTAATTTGTTTTTCAATTTCTTCTTTATCATATTGTCTATCATTTTTGCCCTGTAGCCATTTTTCTCTGCTAAGTATTTAATGGTATTTTTCTCTTTTTTGAAATTTTCTTTATTCAAGGGAATATTAATAAGTCTGTGGATAAGTGAATGGAAAGTAGCGATTTTATGACTCCAAGGATGATTAGAATAGTATGGAATAATGATGTCTGTGGTCGTAGGTTTTCTAAATATGTTAAATGTTTATTCATATAGTATAATGAAAAAATTAATACCAAAATGTATTAAGATTTAGTTAACATATTTTATTATTTTTACATATGATTATATTTTTAATTTTGTTAGTTTAAAGAATGAGGTTATGGTAAAAATGACTTGACAATGGACTTAGTTCCGAAACATGTCGTCATGAAAAATAAAATAATTACTAAAAGGGTACTTTGTTATATATGTTTTAATTTTAATATATATATATATATATATATATATATATGTCCGTTAGCGCAATAACTCGAGCAAAAATGATCTGATTTTGATGAAATTTGGTACAAACGTGTAAACCTACGTTTATTCGAACGAGTTCGCGATCCAGCATAATCGGATAATGGGAACGGGGATTTATGGGGGGTTTTATGCAGAAAAACTTTGCAATTTCTTTCCAAACAGTTTTGTAGAGCTTAAAAAAAGAAATAATTTAGTATATTGAAGCGCTGTTTTATGTCTAACGGTCACGGAGAAAATTAAAAAATAGTGTAATTTAAAATTCCCATGTTATTCTTATGGAGAAAATAAAAATTGTTGTAGTTTACTTGTTTGTGGACATATATTGATAAAATTTGGCAAATTTATTTATTTCATCCTATACTATTGACGTATGGTCAAAAACACGTTTTGCTTTCCCCGTAGCAGCAAACCTAAGCACTTGTTAAATTTAATGTTATCTAAATAGGGAATAAATATGTCAAAATATTTTAGTAAAAATGCAATCAGACAAGTTGAAATTCGCTTAGTCTGCAGGTTTGCTGCGGCGGGGGTATTATTGCTATGTTCTTGTAATCTTTGTTTCTCAAAGTGAGCACCTTACCTGTAGAAAATACATTTCATTCATAACTTGACACGACGTGTTTAATATCGACAAATAAGGTTCGTATTCTTAAAGTAGGTTTTAAACGATTAATTAAACAATTATTTATTTCAATACATTGGCTCTAGAAACATTAATCATGATGGTTTAAAGACATATGCCTACTGGTACATAGAACGTGTTGATTAGTTTCGTATGGCTGTCTAATTTTGTTACAATTATTTTCATTTCGAGACCTCTTAATAAACATAAATAAATTAATAAATTGATTTACATAAAATATCAAAACATAATAAATTGTTTATGTAAACAAAACTTATTTACCTGTTGCACACAAAAAGTCAAATACCTACTCGGACATTCCTAATCACTTCTCATAAATAAATTTACAACGAAATCTTGTTCATCCTACTACGAGATATCATGACTTTTTTTTCCAAACAATCCTTAATGTTTTTCGATAAATGCAGTGCAGTGTTAGACTTTGTATAGAAATTCCGGAGATTCTTGAAATGACTTGAATGACACTGTCCTACATTTATAAAATTATTTGATGACAAGCTGATGGCTCGACGTGAGCAGTCAATCAGTTGTCAAATGGAAATCTTTTATGTACTTGAATTGTCTTTCAGCTCAATCTAGGTTTCCGTCGGCATTAATTTTATTTACGTTTCAGTTTAAGTGAAAATAAGTTTGTTAAGTTTATTTTATAGTTAAAACAAACTAGTTTAAAGGTTAAAACATTATTTAATATGCACTACTTGTTAAATTACATTGTATGATTATATTTCTTAGGTTAAAAGTAACTTCGTTACGATGGATCAATTTTATTCTTGGTTTGTTGGTTACTCATCACTAATTTAAAATTATACACAATTACTAAACAATGAGGCATATTTCGAGCTTTCAATGAAGATTAGCTTTGATGAAAGCTCGAAATATACTTTTATTTTTTAGTAATTGTGTATAATTTTAATTTAGTGATGAGTAACCAACAAACCAAGAATAAAATTTATAATTCAATCACGAAAAAAACATTCCGGAATGAAACAATGGATCAAATTAGTTGTTAAGCTTCAAAATGTGATATGTTATTTGGTTACCAATTGATGAAAACTAAATAAATCCAATAAGACTGTTATAACTCTGACTAAATCATTACTTTCCCTAAATCATGGTTATTTATTATCACCTTTCTGACATTTTATGATTTAATTTATATCACTTTACCAAGGTGTTATTTTCAATCAATTACTTTTTCATCATACTGTCCGGAAAGCAGCAGTTTTTAGTTTACTAAATCGTCCACGAATTCGTCCTTTTCGGGTAACTTTAAACAGGGAACATAAAAAACATATGATAAATTTTTCGGTTGGCTAATCTAAAAATACAGTATTATCAGTACATTATGATAACGCTACTAATCACGTTGCGTACCAAAAAGAGCCACTTTCGCTCCTAGTGATGAAAACTACTATTAAAACATTGCAGTTACTTCTTTAGACATTTTATTAACTCTAAATGGAAATAAAACTATTTGATCATACGCCTCACCAAGCCTTGTATCAGGATTACCAATGTTGTCATCCACTCCTTTCAATAAATTAATTATTGAAGTGAATGCCGCTAGCTGAATCAGCTACCTACGCTTAGTTTGATCAACAATAAACCCCTTCGTTAGTTTGAATAAAAAAAATATTTATGCCGAGAAAGTGCCAAGAATAGGGATTGGTTGTTATTTTCAGTGCTTGTAGAAACTACGAAGAGGTGTAGAATAATTTGATCCCAAATATACATCAAACTATCAACGCTTCCCTTGATTAGTAATAATATTGTGTAGCAATACGTAACCACAGTAACGTCACAAGCGTCTAGGCAGCCAGTGCAACTCCGAGGATCGTGGATCAGAACCACCCCACACCATCGCACCATGTCGTACGCTTCCAAATTATACCGGCGCATCAGCATAGCCTAACTTTTCGCGGAAAATTGTTATCTCTATCACTATCGCTGTCAAAACGTATCGTTTGTAGGTTAAATTTAAATTAAATACGATTAAACTGTCATAACCTAACCAAACTTGCTGATAATGAAAAACTCGAATGAAGGTTTACTAATCGAAAAAATAGTTCTGTCCTAAAAATAAAATTACAAATGTCTGAAATTCAATTTTATAATTTTTTAATTATAAAATTAAACTGTCATAACCTAACCAAACCAACCAAACTTGCTGACATGAAAAAAATTGTTGACAAAAAGTTAGTGCTGCCAGTTGGATTCGAACCCGGTACCTTCTGATTATCAGCCCGACACGCTATCCATTATCACCACCAAAGCTCATAACTCTGCTACGTATCGTTGCGGTAATGGTTGACGTCACGCCATTGGCACGGAGCGGTGGTGGAGGGTTTTCCGATCTGATCCACGATCCTGTGAGTTGCATTGGCTGCCTAGACGCTTATCAGTAACGTCACCTCCAATGGCGAGGTTGAGTGCCGCAGACCTCATTATTTATGCTCCATATTTGCTTTACCTTTCTCTTCTAAGAAAGAAAAAACATCTTCTCCATCCCCCCTTCCCCCCGCCAAGGATACAATACAGACCGTGATTACGTAGTAATCAGTGATCACTGTGAAGAGTTCTAGAAATACTTCCTACTTCTTGATATGTAACTTGAAACCTCAACTCTAGATGCACTTGACGATGCAGACTCATATTGCAGCTGCTGGCCTTACACTTGTACTCACTAGGCTGCATACACGTTGCTTATCGCATAGGAAATTTTGTGATATCTGTGAATAATCAACGTTGACCTTTCAAGTTAGTTTAGAATTATGGGCAATACTACTATTTGATCACTATCATTATTGGTTACCACTACCTGCCCAATAGTTTTGTAACTTATGAAGTAGATACTTACAAACACTAACAGCACTGAACAACGGTATAAACCTTATCAAGGTATCAGGTTCATGGTTTTAGAATTATCGTATGTCATATCAATGATAGTACTAGAAGTGCCCTCAATAAACCTATACATCATTACAGTATCGTTTAATTAACACAAGTAATCTTCATGAAAAAGCAGTTACACCATAAATAAGGCTAGGTATTTATTCTTGACGCACGAAGCCGTTTGAAATCTTGAAAAGCTTAGTCTACGAGTAGTTTTTGCAGTATCTTCACTAGGTGGTTACTGCAGGGAACCGGAGTTTTGCCAACGGGTGTCAGGTAGATGGGGGGGATGCCTTCGGCCACCTCTTGGTGCGGAGATTTGCCAACGGTGGTGGTGGGAGAAAGAGTGTGACGGAGGGAGGGAGAGCGATTGTCAGGGTTGTCTACGCTTGGCAGTTGTGCGCTTGTCGCAGTGGGTTAGGTTAGGTTAGGTTAGGTTAGGTTAGGTTAGGTTAGGTTAGGTTAGGTTAGGTTAGGTTAGGTTAGGTTAGGTTAGGTTAGGTTAGGTTAGGTTAGGTTAGGTTAGGTTAGGTTAGGTTAAAAATTCAATACATTTCCTTTCACAGTCAGAGGTGCATAACTCCATTACTTTGAATACAGTCAGCATCCTGCCTGGTTTGTCCACCCCTAGCGGAAGCCACTCTCACGGTCACGTGTAATCGCTCTCGCTCAACCTACAACCGTTGGCAAAACTCCGCAGTATGTGGAATTCATGGATGGGACCCTTTCTACCTGATACCCGTTGGCAAAACTCCTACACTCTGTTACTGCAAAATCTCCGAAACAGCATTGAAACACAGCCTGACGGACGACACGGACCAACCCAGAAATCAACAATTATACATAGTTTGTTAACGACCGACCGTGGTCAACAGTTACTCACGTAGTTAACGGTCTTGTGCTTCACGATGACTGAGTTCCTTTTGCAAGCGGCGGCCGCGTCCTCCTGGTCAGTCTTGATGCAGTGGCTCCAGAAGACCTTGTAATGCTGCAGAGGCAGGTCGGAGGGTGCGCGGCGCCATCGCAGCTCTGTCCACAGCTTCCCATCCACCCAACCGGAGCGTCCCGCGGTCAGATTACTCGGCTCGAAGGGTTTTTCTGGGTCTGCAGCAAAAATAACATTGGCAAACTTTAAAAGAGACGAGAACTTGAGAGTTAAAAGATTTACACCTACGGATGCCGAGATGATTCCATCCAACAAATGCATAGAGTATAGAACATGGCTTTACACATTTTCTTTAAAAATATAAAATAGTTAAATGATGCATTGAAATAGTATGCTAAAGTCTTAAATTCTATTTTCATCATACTGCCAGGAAATCAGCAGTTTGTAGTTCTCTTAAATCGTCAGCAAAATCGTCTTTTTCTGGTAACTTCAAATAAGGAACAGAAACAAACATATGGTAAATTTGTCGATTGGCTAACTTCAAAATGTTATCAATGCATTATGAGAACGCTGCTAATCACGCGGTATTTAAAGTGATATTTGTACACAACAGAAATTTTAACATTGATGACGAGTTTGTATAACCTCAAGTGTAACGAGTAGAAGGTTATTTTCACAGTATGATGAAAAGTTGTTCATCGCAAGGAGCGAAAGTGTCTTTTTGGTACTTAATCGTATTTCCCCCCAAAAAGAGCCAATTTCGCTCCTAGTGATGAAAAATACTTTTTCCGTAGTAAACAATGTAATGATGAATTTTCGCAGGTGATAAACAGGTGATTTCATAGTAGTGTAGCGAAAACAGGTCATTTCAAAGTAGTGCAATGACCTTTCATTATTGCGTACCAAAAAGAGCATCTTTCGCTCCTAGTGATGAAAACTACTATTTCTCACTTCATCTATTCATTACTGTGATAGTTTATTGTCCTTTCAGCTTGGTTTGGCAACCAATTCTGTGTATTCGACAAAAAACAGCCATTTATTTCAGCGCACTCTTACGCCAGCTCAATTAAACTACGTTTATTGTGTTTTTTCAACCGTCTATAGCTTTAACTTTGGATTGGAACATCTAGTTCTACCCATAGTCAAGGGTACGACACTGGTGCGAAGGTGTCACTACAAACCTACACTTTAAAAAGGGTAAAAATAATAAATGCAGCACACCTATTTGTAACTTGAACGGTGCAGAGGGTTGGGAGTACCCCCGGGAGCCGTTGGAATTAACAGCCGCGACCCTCACTTGGTACCATGTAGCAGGGGTGAGACCTGTCAGGAGTTGGCGGTTACGCCGGCGGCGACTCCTCGGTTTCCAAGGTCCGAAGAGGCGCAGGTCAGGATCACGCCCGACGTGTGAACGCTGCTGCAGCACGTAGACGACATCTCCGTCAGTTGCTGACGCCACCCATTGGATCTGCTTGGCGCGCTGTCTCTTGGAATCAGAGACTGTCAAGTTACTGGGTACTGCGGGCAGACCTGGAGAAATTATTGAGCATAGACAGTTTACCTTGGGATTTTAGATGATCACGCCACTTGGTTGGCTAATGGGAAGGATTGAAGAGCATTATTGCACATGAAATATCATACAGTCAAAATAATCCTTTAGATGGATAATTGTGGGTAGGAAAAAGACTTGATAAAATAATTGTGCCTTAAAATGTAGAGCAAGCACAAAGGCACTTGGTTGGGTAATGGAAAGGGTTGACGACGGCTTCTAATGGAGTATGTACGATAGAAATTATGATTTTGAGAGGTGTGATGTGGGTAGGGAAAAGATCTGCATAAATAGCTGACCCAAGTGAAACAAAGAGCATTTAGGCCACTTGATTGTCTATTTAGAATAAATTGTACAAGATGATAAATGGAGTACCATTCAATCCTTGACAATAATAATTCATAGGGACGTGTGTTCGAAGGATTTGCTGGTAGAAAAAACTACGAAATTACTCAAATTCATTCATCCACCACCCAGACAGAGTACTACTTATCAATTATGGTAAAGACCAAAGGGTTATCTTCTGGTAAGTACTGAAGGGATAGTTTTTTATGAGAGGAACATGTTTTTGCTCAAAAAGATTTAGACAAAACCGTAATACTAGGATCCGTAGTGAGGGAGAGTCAAAAGTATGACTTTCTACGACGTATTCTTTTCGATAAACAAAACATGAGAACGAGTAACAGTGAATAACTAAAAGTTGAACATAAAGAAATAAATCGCATTTGTTAAAACCTAAACCAGGGTTGTTTCGTAATTTTGTTTGTCTAATATTTTAATATAAAATACATAAAACTAAATGCATCACATATTTTAGGGGGGAATAGAAAATGTGTTTATTCTTAAAATGTCCAAATTTATCATCAATTATCTATTAATGAAATGGGGACTATGTGCGTATTTTAACCCAAATATGAGCAAGGGATGGGTACCCTAAATTATGACCATCAATGGAGTCAGATGATATTTATAGCTTTGTTACTGGCTAAGATCAGCTGTTTCAGTAGCCAGGATCGTCAATTTAAAGCCTAAGGGATAAGGGACAGCTGGGTCCAGTTTCGAACCATCAAAAAGCTATTGGCTTTTCTCATGATCGAACCAGCAACCTTTTGATTGCTATGCAAACACTATAACCACTCAGCTACCCAGCCAGTTGAACAATAAATTGATGTTTAATTATTCTAATCAAGTAAATTGTGGACTTGTGGTAATAGGCCTACTAGCCAATAAGCGTGCACGTCTATTTTGAGTCTTAAACATAGGGGCTATGTATGCTATGGGGATAGCCTAGGGTTCACAACAGATACGTACATTGATCCGGTTGAAATTGAAATCGAACCCTTTGCGAGTTAAATCTTCCCTCAACGCTCAACGATATCGATATCGAACAGTCCAACTGAAAGAAACCGTCCGAGTTGCGTCGGCTATCTTAATCAGGCCTACATTTTGTTGGCTACACATCATGAAAATTAAACTGCATTTTAGTAGTTTACTTTTAATGATGTGTAGTCAACACAATTTAACTATAGACATCCATCATGATGAGAAATACCTACCGAGAATAATCATGTTCTTAATTGAATTATACTGAATTAACATAGAGGCCACCATTCTTGTACAAAAGATTCAATGACTAGTAAGTTAGGGCGAGTTGACATTAAGTTAAGTTTTAATGTTAGGCTAGGTTACTCCCAGGGTATACTGGTCAAATTGTGAGAAACAATTTCTCGAAGACATGTTAATAAATTATCAAAATGTTAGTCAAACAAAGGTTTCCAAACAAGAAAATTAGATCCTTGTGCTACTTATACAGTCTTTCTCTCTTTTTTACTAGCCACTTCAGGCCTTAGCTTAGTAATTAATTACTAATTAAAATATCAAATTTGTTTACAGAAATGTACTTAACTAACAAATCGGGGACAGGGTTAATTTTATACAAGTCAATTTTTTATGATGAGTAATATAGGATCTTTATATAAAATTAAGCAATTGAAAAACGGAACATTATCCTTCGAACGTTTCAAACTCCGACTAAGAACGGAGAAAAATTCAAACTTAGCAAACATCATAGGACAACTAACTTAGTTACAGAAACAAACAAAACGGACAGGCGAGAGCCGACGCAACTGGGAGTTGGAGTGTTCGATAATTCGATATCGATATCGTTGAGAGTTGAAGGAAGATGTAACTCGCAAACGGTTCGATTTCGATTTCAACCGGATCAAGGAGGGTTGTGAACCCTAGGCTATCCATGCTATGGCCACGCTTAACCATTGATAAAAGTGTGAAAGATCGGTTCTAGCCAAAGGTTACACTTCCTTTTGGAGAGTGGGACTGAGTTATCGGGTTTACCTAGCTCCTGGTCCAGGCCGATGGCACGTTGACATGTGGTGCCGCAGTCGTTGGAGCAGCATTTCTCTGTTTCCTCGCAATCCACGTCATCCACGCAGGCAGCGATGCACGCCTTGTCATGCCATCGTAGATTTTGACGATCCGGGCAAAATCCTGGCTTCGACCTCGTCAACAGCCCGCACTCCGACTCGCACTGTGACATCAGTTGTTCAGTTAAAAAGGTTTACACACACTTTAGTTGAACAATAAAAATAGGAATCCGTGCTGCAAGGACCACTGTGAAGCCCCGTTCACACGGGGTGAGTTTACAAGCTACAAGCCGGTTTTTTTTACACGCAGCTAGTAAAATAGCTCAGTGTGAACGACGTACTCGCTCAAAAGCTGCTTGTAAAAAAGCTCTGGAAAAAGTTGACGCTGCCGCTACTTTACACGCCAACTCGCCAGCTTTTGAGCGAGTAGTGAACACAGTAGTTGCTTGTGCTTGTGCGCATCTTATTCAAAGATGTCAGAGGATTTGGTTCAAGCCAGCTACTGAGCGAGTGGAAAAAGCATCGTGTGAACGACTACAAACGCACTCGCCGACTCGCCGGCGTCTTTCTACACGTCTGCGAGTTGGCGAGTGGACAAGCTCCGTGTGAACGAATACAAGCACACTCGCCAACTCGCCGGCTTCTTACATGCTAGCGAGAAGCTTGTAAACTCGCACCGTGTGAACGAGGCTTAAGAAAATATTCCTTTAAAGTTGTATTTCTTTCTATTGGCATTTAGTACATTTAATCAAGTCACATGTTATCATTAATATGTTTTCATTAACTAACTGTTATTTTTGTAAACAAAAGTTAGTTGAATTAAGGTAAGAAAAAAAACTTGTGCTACTTTAAAATTGGTTTTTATATTACAATTTATGAGGAAATCTCTTATTTAACAGGCAAATTTTTAAATTTTTGTTCTTTTGATCCGAGATAATATGGTCTTTGTGTATTATTGTGTAATTTAAATTAATATGAGTGATACTAAGGGAAAATCACTTTGGCCGGTTTTTACCAAAAAGCCCAAGGCTATTTAAGAGCTTGTAGACTACAATGTAGATTTGAAGATTATTTTACCTAAATATAATTTATTTACGAAGGTTCATGACAAATTACAGAAAGTAAAGAAAGTTTTAAGTAAGTTAAAGTTATACAAAATGACAATACTAATGAAGGGGACATTGAAAAGGAGATTCTGAATACAAAGAGAAGTATAAGGAGGTAACTATGTTAGATCAAAATACTCAGCTAGCTGAAACAGTTGATTCACATTTAAATATAACTTTACCGGCCGCTTCAAATTTTATTTAAGTGAAGCTCCCAAAGATTTAGCGTAAACAATCTAATGGAGCAATTAAAAATTAGATTGAGTTTGGTCTCAGTTTTCTTAAATACAAGATGATAATAATTTAAAAGATGCAGACAAATTTGAGGACCTTTACCAATCAATGAAACCTGATTCTCCTGCTCAAAATGTCATTGAAGGTTTTCTAAAATTTAAGAAAACCATGCAAATGTTTTGAAGTCCCGGTACTTTCCTGTTAAAGGGAACATTCATTATTATCAGTAATTTCTTTTCGATACATCAATATTTTATTTTTGTATTCGATATATTGATAATAACAAATTGAAACTTATCAGCCGACAACTACGATAAATAAATATTGTTCAGTATCAATAAACAAAAAAAAAAATATATTGAAATGAAACTGTTCTAAACTAACCTAACTAACCAAACTTGCTGTAACATTTTAAAATTAGTTTGATAGCCTATTCCCCATTTGCCTTTTCTGTTATCAAACGGGATTTTGAAACGGTAACTTAGCCTACAGCAAGTTTGGTTAGTTAAGTTGGGTTGGTTTAGAATAGTTTCTTAATCCAATATATAGGCTATTATTTTTGCCTAAACAAGATTAGTTCTTAATCCTATTCTCTAATACGAGCTATAACTCAATAACTCGGTTATTGAACCAAGTATAACATTGCCATAAGTATATTTTCTGTCTTGAATGTCTGTAATTTAAATGCGTTTGAAGATATTAAAACAGATGGAATATGGACCGTAAAGGAAAACAAAAATATCGATATATCGAAAAGAAATCATCGATAATAATGAATGATCCCCTTAACAGGAAAGTACCGAAGTACCAATATCCCGATATGGGATGGACGAGTTCCTCATTGAGTACTTTCGTACTCGTACATCATCTGTTATATAATTCAACCAGAAAATGATTTTCAGGTTTTTATCATATTCGACTATTTGTAAGCAAATCTTTAAGGCTCTTTACATGAAACCTGTTGTTTTGAAGTCACTCATTAATTCCAATTACCACAATGGTGAGAAAAAACGTGTGATATTTGTTGAAAACAGCATCGAAAGTAGTCTTTCCAAGGAAGCCCGTGTGTTAAAGGAGCTATTTTGATAGACTATAAGTCATTGATATTTGCTGAAATGATTTGATGTAACAGTATCAAGAGGTGCTTGACAGATGTTCAACCAATTTAGGCTAGATCGATTCTATCGATTAGTGTTGAGAAGGAAGAAGTTGTCATATAAGCCAAATGAAGTGAAGACCCAAAATCACAACGTGTGGGAAGCTCATGTAACGGTCTTGATATGAAAGGCTTTGATTGGATAAAAGGGATATTTGCACTCCCATGAGTAAGCGAAGCCAAATGATTTTATGGAATTGATGGAAATTTGTTAAGTGAGCACACGCTTCTACAGCGTCTTAGTGAGATTTGCCTACATTTACTTGTTTGGCTACACAATATGTCTTTTGTACGATAATAGCTCCGAGCCTAATTATCTTTACGTTATATTTGGGTTCAAGAAATTGTAAAGATAATGGTTACCTACCTCCCGCTATCTCCGCGTCCCGCCATCTCCGTGTACCGCTACCTCCGAATTTCAGAGTGACCCCTATAATCCTCGGTTACTTCCTGCGTTAAGACTTTCCGTCCAACCTAACCTAACCTAACTTAACTTAACCCTAACCTAACCTAACCTAATCTAACCTAACCTATCCTAACCTGACCTAACCTAACCTAACCCACGGGTTAAATTTTCATTAAATCTTCCATCCATGGGGCTTCGCAGCCGTGGATGCAATGACAGCTACCAACGCAGGTAGTGACGGGATTATAAGGGTCACTCAAGAATTCGGAGATGGCGGGACAGTTTTGGGTTCGGAGATGGCGGAACGCGGAGATAGTGGGAGCACACGCAAGAAATTAGCAACGAAATATGGGAATCTCCTGCAAAAGATCCGGCATAGTTCGACATAGACTCAAAAGTGCCCACACCTTTTGGACTCTTCTTTCACAACACATTAAAAAATGTATGTTGAAACATTTAAACGAAACTAGTTTGTCCTTTAGTCTAGACCATCCTGAAACGCTTGTGTTTGTGTGGTTTCATTGCGCATTGCGAGCCGTTCCTCCGCCGCGGTCGCCCGCTCAAGGCCACATTTTTATGAAGATATTTCCAAGTACACCGCTGTAAAGTAATGGTCAATGACTCGTTGGGGCTGGTCAGGATTTCGCATGTGCGGGTTTATGACTCTTGTAATAACAATTTATGGCGGCCTAAGTGGAGCGGCCGCGTGACTGCGCCTGCGTTTTGTTTTCTCTGTCATCGCAGTAAGGCCAAACAGCACGCTCGGCGACCATTCATGTGCTCGACCGTGAGGTACTGTGTACTATACAGGGTTCCGTAAAATAATGGCAAAGTTGCAATGTTGTTACCAACCAATGAAATCTTTCTGTTATAAGGAAAATAATATGACAGACTGGCAACTTCTATCATGAAACCCAGACTTACCCCTAATAACCTCAATTCTAGGACCATGACAAAACATGGCCATTTCCGATAAGAAAGAATAACTCCGATAGGCGAAATCCACTATTACAATATGACACAATATGTCTGTCACTGTAGTGTAGCAAAATGTGACCACTTTGATGTGTTATAATTCATTTGATATTAGTGATTATAATTAACTAGCTGTTACCCACGGGGTTCGCCCCGTTTGACATCATAAGTATTAATAAAACTATTGATTGGTTAAGTTAACCTGAAATAAACAAAATACAGTAAAAGAAACAAATAATCACACCTGATTTTAATAAGGTAATAAATTGAAAGAATAACAAACAAATAAGTACAGCTGAGGTATTTTTAACATTAGCATAGATAAAACATACTCCCTTAGGTATATGAAAAGTTCCCTTTAGAAAGGAATTACGACCTTTAAGGGCAATTTATGACATGATGGATAATTTTGCGCAAGGTTTCTCGTCATGACGAACATTTTAAGTATATGGTTTATGGGGGTGTGACTTGTAGTTTTCTCAAAAGTTCATGGGTACTTTTGGCTTTATATATAGATTGCGTGTAGTAAGTAAACGTCTTGATACTAATTGTTGGTCACTGTTATAAATTATTCGACTGTCTACATTTGACGCATTGCCTAGAATAAGTCAATAAATCTACACAACCCCGTGAAGAGAAATTGCTTACAAAAACAGTATACGTCGCAATACAGTCTGGATTTTTTCAAGAGTTATGTTAAAGGAAATTATTATTTGTTTACAAAAAGATTTAAAGGAGCCTAAACTTTCTGTACCGAAATTCTGAGCCAAAATCTGTGCATTTTTATTTTACATTGCATTTGGCATACTACTGTTAGTCTTAGAATTGCCTTTTTGAACACACAAACTTATACTACACTCCTGCTTTTGTTTTACAAATACTCCTCCTGAACAGCTGAAGTGATCTGGACGAAATTTAGCACAGACATATAAACCAACTATGGGAAAATGAGGTACGCAATCTGAAATTGTACAAATCGGACAACAGGGCTTTTCTCTACACAAGTTTAAGCTTTTAGAAATTTAACATGGGCCTTGTGAGTTAATTGGTTGCCATGGCAGTATTTTCAAGATAACGATGAAAAAAAAAACGTCGTAAACATTATTATTAATAAATAATCTAAACTAGCACATTACGAAATAGAGAATAAAAGGGAAAATCAATCGGATTCACTTTGGATACTGCAAATAGGGATTCCAAAACAACAAAAATTATGATAATTTTTCAAATTCCTAAAACAAAACCGTGGCCACCTAGATCTACGAATTGACGCCACTGGACTTTTAC